GCTTGACGCTTTGATAACAATAATTGTTATTAAGCAATATAGGTTAGTTATTCGATTCGTAATGATTGAATTCTTTGGTTGAAGTTCTCTCAAATCAGAAAAAATCAATGTTCTCATCGATTTGCTTCATCTTTTGTAAAATGAACAAAGATTTATTAAAGAAATACACTAAAGGGACAAACAAATATTTCTTTTAGCATGAAATTACTGTAATGACAGCGCTGTATTTTTCAAGTGAAATTTACAAGATCAACTTGTTTAGCACTTCTTTCTAAAGAAATATGCACATTTACGAATTTAGGAGAGAAGCTATTGCATGTTTCTCTTCTGTTGGAAGAAACACATGTGGCCAAAAAACGAGCAATTTATTCGACGAAACGAAGGCTGTGCTGGAAACACGCTTGTAACGATCAGCATTAGGCTTATATCAGCCATTGCTTCGCGATCTCTTGAATGAATGAAAGTTTTCTCCCATGTTTTTATTTTATTCTGAAGATGTAGTTGGCCATTATTGTAAAAAATGGCCCACTATTTGAATTCCACTCTTAAGTAAATGGTAGTATAAACATATGTTGTATATTTGATACTATTCAGCAAACTCCTTAACTGGATCCTGGAACATGCAAACGTAACGTGTCGACAGTGGTAATCATATCATTTTAGTACTTTCCAAAACTTTGAGAAAACTCAAAGAGCCTTTGAGAGAAACAGTAAAAATCACTGGAAATTTTGATTATTTATGTTTTGACATTAGATTTTCCGGTGCGTTTTACGGTTGGTGTGAATAAATCTTTGAAATATAGATGTGCAACATGTGAGTATTGACGATTACTTTAATATCGTATTTTCTACGAGTCATACTTAGTTACAACATATTTTAGCATCGGGAATTTCATCTGACCTCAATCATACGATTGTAGATAAAATTAGCTTTTCTCATTTATATTCGACTGATGATGAAAAGGCGGAGACACTGTCACAAAAAAAAATCCCACGACTTCAAACA